TTTCTATAATAAGGAGGGTTTTTAAAAACAAAATAACCAAACATCTAATCTGCAATTATTTTATTAACATATTCTTCAACAAATTCATATTTCTCCCAACCAATACTTTCAAAAATATGTGGCATATTTGTAAATGGTTAAATGCTAACAGCAGCTTTTGAAGTGATAACGCAAGCATGGCTGTATTTTTATAATGATGGTAATTGTAAATTCTTGAATTATGTTGATTGTCCATTTATGCTTATGATTCTTGTTTGGCTACAATATTCACATTCAACTGTTTCAGAATCATTACACTTCCCTTTTTTTTTTTTTGGTGGGGACGATTAGAGGGCAATGCAATTGCTAGACAAGAATTACTGCAAGGAACTCTGCAGTGATTGCTACCTGCTGTTTCATATTTTCTGAAGTTGGGAATACTGTTCCCAAAGGCCTTCCACTTCTCAGCCTAAATGATTTGCAGGATAATAATGTCATGGCTGGTAAATAATAGTGGACTCTAACTGTACATGGTCAATACGATTAAATGTCCATCACCCTGATTTCTATTCTGACCTGGTTAGAAGCAAACAGCAATATCTGCAGCAATGCCCAAGGCTCAGACAAAATGTAATGTTTAGAAAGAAAGATAAGAACAAACTGAACAAAGAAGTGAGAACAATATTTTTTTTACAAATATAAATATAAATACATTCACATATTCTCAAACATATGTACGAATATAGATGTATTAAACAGGCATACTTTGTGCCTTCCTATAGAGAAAGAGATGGAATAGACTTTCTGAATTCTTTTTAATCATACTATTTTTAATTATTATATGTATATCCAGAAAAAGTATCATTTTTGCCACTCCCTATTGTTAATACCACACTTCTGTGGTTTTGTTAAACTATTGCTCATTGTGAAGTTAAAAAACAAAACATACTTCATTAACTAAATATTTTTCACTAAATTTGTACAGATCAACCTCATTCAATGAGCTATGGAGTTGAAAACATGTTGCATAAATACAATTCATTGATATGAGCAAGTTAAACAAGTCAGTGCAAAGCTTATGCAAGCTTATTCCTTTTTATGGGCATTGAAGAAAAGAGGTTGAAGAGAGTGAGCATAAGAACGTTGAACAAGGAACAAGGAATAGTGCAGTGTATTTTACTGTTTCCTGTGTCCTCTATACTCACTTACATCAATCATGACTTTAAAGAAGACAGAAAAATTTATAGAACAAATTCTCTAACATTACATACTACTTGAGAGGATTCAAAGAATGGAAACTGGAAATGGGATCCTCTTTTAAGTAAGAAAGCCTTCAGTAATGAAATTCAAATTTATTTACTACCGGTTCTGTGGGCGTGGCAGGGGAAAGATACTGCAAAATCCCCATTCCCACCCCACTCTGGGGCCAGTCAGAGGTGGTATTTGCTGGTTCTCCGAACTACTCAAAATTTCTGCTACCGGTTCTCCAGAACCTGTTAGAACGTGCTAAATTTCACCCCTCCTTTTACTGTGATAATTATTTTTTAATATAGATTACCAAATATATTACCAAAAGAGAGCTCTATAAGGAACAATGAAACTAAATATTGCCCTCATGCCATAATACCATAATGACCATGAACCCATTCATAGCAATTATTTACCATAACCCTTGTTATAAATTGTAATCTGTAATTGTAAAAGCACCTGGAAGTACAACTGTTATATACTATGCTATGTGTCAATGATAAGCAGCTTTTCCATATTGTCCAATCTAGATAATTGCTAACTGCTGACATTGCTAGATTTGCCTGCTACCTAAATGTTGAAAGAAAAGTATGCTGATTCAGTCTATAATTAATTATTATGCATCTTACCATATAAATTAATTTCATAATTCTTCATTAATTTGATGGGAAAGACCACTCACTTTGGTCCAAATTAGCATGAAGACGACTAGTTAATTCAGCAGCCCTTCTCCACCTTTCTTTCTCATTTTAAGATTGTGCCATTCAAAAGCTAATCATGATGGACAAATGGCTCTTCTAACCCATATAAGGCATAATGCAGCGGAACGGGGAATTTAGACAAACACGGAGAGTGCATTCCTTCTTCTTAGCCAACAAAAAAAATTCCACCTCCCTTTGTTTTGGATTATTTGTTATATTAGTTCTCTTCCTGTTTTTAAGTCCAAGCCACTGATCTCAGTTGTGTCGCTTGTTATGGATAATATGATTACTTTGATTTATTTAAGTTGTTATAATCATTGTATTTTTGAATATATGTGTGTGTGTGTGTGTGTGTGTGTGTGTGTGTGTGTCTGTGTGTGTGGATATGTTTGTACTTACAAAGCTGGTAAGTTTTTCTTAGAAGATAAAGAACTAAAGTCCTATTCAATCATTGCTATTTCTATTTTCTGAGATATGATACATTTTGTAATTTAGACAATTATTTATAGAAACAGAGTACACAAAAAGTATTAGATAAGTTAACTTTGTATAATAATGTAAAGGCTGATGTGATATAATTATCTTTGATAACATCTCAAAAGAAAGATGTTGGAAAGGAATTAGACATTTCAATTTTAAATGCAAATGATAGACTAAAGGTATCTGACTCCAACAGGTGACTACAGTAGTTAGAAAGCACACATTAAAAAAGGTGTAAACTTTAAATAAAAGGAAAAAGAAACACACCTATGTACACTTTCCTTACATGAGTGGATTTGAGTTCAACCGATTTTTTTCTAATAGTTATATTACAATTATACCCTAAATAAATTCAATTAACTACCCACATTGAATTACTCCAGTGATCTGTATGTTGTTACTCCTCAAATATGACTGTTTACAATTTTCACAAATTAAAACAACATATCTACCGTATTTTTCAGAGTATAAGACACACCTTTTCCCCTCAAAGAGGGTGAAAATCTGGGTGTGTCTTATACACTGAATACAGCATTTTTGGCCTTCTGAAACCCCACCCCCTTCGCAAAAATGGATGTGGATAGGATTTGGGATCACTGCAAAGTGCTCCTGGGGGTTGGGGAGGGCAAAAACAAATATAAAATGGGCCATTTATTGTTCATTTTTGCCCCCCCCCCAGCTCCCAGGAGCACTCTACAAGTCTCCTAAAGTCTATGTATGCCTTTTTTTGTGAAAAACAGTCTATTTTTTGCTCATTTTTGCTCCCCCCAGCCTCCAGGAGCACTTTGCAGGCCTCTCAAATTCTCTTCATGCCCTGTTTTTCAAAAAGAAAAAAAAAATGAGGCATGCAGAGAGTTTGGGAGTCCTGCAGAGTACAAAAACTTTTTTCTAAATTTACCTCTTCAAAATCTTGGTGCGTCTTATATTCCGGTGTGTCTTATACTCTTAACTGGTATTCAGTTAAAATGTTTTTACTACTGTCCACCAGTTAAAAATTCTTTCCAAAGATTTTGCAGAAAGGAACTCTTTTCCTCCATTTACATAAAGATCAGAAAGTTGGAGGAAGCTATTTCACAGTAAAAAATGGTCATCTATAAGGTTATTTTTCTAGGCCCTAGTTCTCTTGATTTATCAAGAACTAGTATCTATAGTAGTCTCTTCTGGTTATACAATGTATGGCATGAAGCCAGATAAGAAGGTATCTGGCTGCAAAGGTAACTGGAGACCCAGGTGGTACAACACTTTGTTGGTAATTACAGCATCTTGAATTGGGCCAAGAAATACATGTTTCTCCTGCAAAATACATGTAGTTCTGCTGAATTGGCTAGCAAAAGAAGAGCAGCATTCTGTGTCACATGCAGCTTCCAAGTTCTCCTTAAGGGCAGCCCATGTAAAGTGAATTAGTAAATTACTGATTAGTAAATCAGTAAATTTAACTGAGATATAAAAATGGCATTTGCTGCTTTCAATGTGCTTTAGTCCAGGAAAGGGTGCAACTTAAAAACCAACAAAACAGGCTAACTTATTTTTTTTGTCTAGTCTGCACCTCTTATAAAAAGACTCAGAGAGAACTGAGTCTAGAACAACTCTTAAACTATGTGCCAATTCATTCAGGTGAAATTCAGCTCATGGAATTAGAAAATGTCTCTGCCAGTATTACTTCCACCTTGCTGGTATTTCATCCAAGCTCATAGACATAAACATCTATAGTTCTAATCATTTCTATGTGCTGATCTAGGAATCTTCTTAAGTTGTTTATCTCCTGTTGCTATTTAGTAAAACAAGGAGCCCACTTGGATCAATATCCAAGAAGCTGCTGCTTAAGAGTGGTCTTAAGAAGCCCATTATTGTCTTCATATTCCAGATGTGTCCACTGAATCACTGGAACATTTTACAAGTACCTACTGGAAACTAACTGAACCCATAAATATTATGAGTTAAACCATCTTAATGGTTCCATATGGAAGTTTGTAGAGGCCACAAGCACAGGTGGTGTACTGTTTCACTCAAACTGGTAGCGGAAATCATGGCTGGGCCTACCACCTGGGCTCTATGCTATCCTATTTAGGCATGTTTTTGAGGCTGGGTGCATGTATGGAAGGTGCACGCATGAGCAAAGTGCATGTGCAGAAGACTGGGTGCATGCGCGGAAGGGCTGCACAGCAAACCGGTAGTTACAAAATGTGAAAACCATGTTAGCCTCAGATGTTAACTGGGCTAAAAGTCAATGCTAGATCCACAGTCATCCAGCAGTTTGCTGTGTTGAAAGTGGATGAATAGTCTTCATAGTTCACTAAGTATTAGAAATTCAAAAGGTATCACCCAATACAGTCATGCAAGAATTAATGTTCACGTTTATATTTATATAATTTATATAGCAATGCCACTGTCCTTATACAACATATGTGCATGGAGGGAACCTAATTCATTTCAAACATAGCCACCAATATCCCTGAAAATTGACAAACCATTTTTTGGGTTCATTTACAATATGTATTTTTATAAAGAAATATTATAATCGAATAACAAAAAAACACAATGCATCAAATTAATCTGTGAGAAAAACTAAAATGAAAGAGGTCATATTCTTACCAGAATAATGAAGGTAACAGGCCCAATAAAACTCCAGATAAAATAGTTGTCCACCTTGAGCCAGCAACTGTTTTAGAAAAGAGGAGAAAAAAAAACAGTCCATGAAGAAAAAAAATATTATGAAAATTGCAAAAAAAAAAAAAAAAAAAAAACCACCCCTAACTTTCACTGACTCATGTTTATGAGATATCTTTTAGCAATGGCATTAAGTGGAAATCCATTTGAAATCTATTCTTATAAATAACTTAAACCTCTTCATAACTGAATTTTGGAACTTTGGGGAGGCTGGCCAAATCAGTGAAAGTGAAAATAATTAATGAGCAAACATAATGTATAGTATCTGCACTATCCCATCCATCCATCCATCCATCCATCCATCCATCCATCCATCCATCTCTCCTTTCCTCTCCCTCTCCTCTCCTAATGGAAATAAATTGTGTTTGTTCATAAAACATTCTTTCTGTGGAAATCTGAACAACATTAAACTATAGGTAAACAGATGTATTTTATGCAACCTAGTTATGCTATTCATCATATTTTTGTGTTGATTACCAACTCATATTTTCAAATTTATCTAAACTAGACATTCTCTATTAAAGAACTATTTACAAATCACAGCCTCATAATAAAAAAAATAGGTTTGCAGTATTGTCCACAGTTCTATTTATGTTCTTGAGCACTGGAATCTAACTTCAACATATAATACATAAATCCTTTCTTTGCCATGATTTATTTTCTTCTCACTCTCTGTCCCTATTTTTTGTTCCATTAAATCAAGTTGAGAGTTGGTAGCAGGAAAATAAAGAAAATGCTGAAAAATTAATACACAACATGGTAGATGAGGTTAATTTCCTCATCTAATTTCCACACATGGACCAATTTTTGTGCTTCTAACACACACATGGTCCATGTCCCTGCTGCACAGTGCCTTAAAATTTGCTATTGTATGATTTAATCTATTGTTTAACTATAACAAGAATTAGATCCTAGTAAGCTTGGCTGATTAAAAAAAATACCAAGCAAGATCAGACCTGACTTGGAAGGGAGATTATTATAAAATCCCCAAGCTGAAAGTTAAACAAAACACCCACCCCATTCATTTCACTTTTGCCATGAAAACAATATAAATATGTGTATTCAATCACCAGGAATCAACCTTAATTCCGCTTTATTATTTGATCATCATAAACAAACCTATCAGAAATTTAGAAAATAATTAGACATCCTACTTTTTCAGCAAAAAAGGTGTACTACCAATCAAAAGCCACCATTCCCAACTGTATATTCAACAATTAAAAGGAAATAGCATTAAACTAAATTAAGCATCAGCTAAGAGGACTCAATTCATTTAATGATTCACTTTTTATATATTTCAAGTAGCTCCCTAATGAATCACTTTTATTTGTCTTTCATCAACAGCTAAATTAAGCAGACTTCTTGTATTAAACAATATCTGACCATGCTGTAAGTATTTAATCAATGGACAAAGCAAGCACTATTAGAATTCATATTTATGTCTTCAGTTATACAAATCCTCAATAATATCTTGTGCCTATCTTTTATAACTTTATGTAATAGCTATTTTATAAACAGAAGATCTACCTGATAAAATATAACCAAACTGAAAAATATATGTTGAAATACTCAGCTATCACTTTCAGAGGATATTTTACCAGAAGACCAATTGAATAATGATGTCTTTTAAAAAGTTAAAACTAAGGAATTATATTTTGCAATAATGTAATTTGATTTCAGCAAAATTTCCCATACTTCTTCTTTCATGTAAATTTCATTGGGACTATAAATAAAAGTAACCAAGATTTGCTTTGAATGAAGGCAAACATAATGATGCAAGATTGAATTTGGGTCAGTCACTGGGACCAGAGATTTACTCTTCCAAACTTTCGGACTCGTGCTGGAGTTCATCTTCTCTCTAATGGAATATGTCCTTTGGGCTGTTTGGTGTGTTGATGGATGGCAATTGGTTGTTGTTTCCTTGTGCTGCCAAGCCCTCAACTTCCAAGTTTTCATTGATAGCCTCACATTGCAATGAACAAAGGACACACATTTAATTTCACAGCAACAAAAATAGTTGGCCACCCAGGTACAAAGATAGGCAAGGAAATGATTGAAGCTTGGATATAGGCCCCTTGTCAGCTAAGAGGACTGCTGATTTACAATATAATAGCAGAGTTGGAAGGGACTTTGGAGGTCTTCTAGTCCAACCCCCTGCCGAGGCAGGAAACTCTATACTGTTTCAGACAAATGGCTATCCAACATCTTCTTAAAGACTTCCAGTGTTGGGGCATTCACAACTTCTGGAGGCAAGCTGTTCCAATAATTAATTGTTCTAACTGTCACAAAATTTCTCCTCAGTTCTAAATTGCTTCTCTACTTGATTAGTTTCCACCCATTGCTTCTTGTTCTACCCTCAGGTGCCTTGGAAAATAGTTTGACTCCCTCTTCTTTGTGGCAACCCCTGAGATATTGGAACACTGGTATCATGTCTCCTTTAGTCCTTCTTTCTATTAAACTAGACATATCCAATTCCTGCAACCGTTCTTCATATGTTTTAGTCTCCAGTCCCCTAATCATCTTTGTTGTTCTTCTCTGCACTCTTTCTAGAGTCTCCACATCTTTTCTATATCGTGGCGACCAAAGCTGAATGCAGTATTCCAAGTGTGGACTTACCAAGGCATTATAAAGTGGTATTAACACTTCACGTGATCTTGATTCTATACCTCTATTTATGCAGCTTAGAACTGTGTTGGCTTTTTTGGCAGCTGCTGCACACTGCTGGCTCATATTTAAATGGTTGTCCACTAGGACTCCAAGATCCCTTTCACAGTTACTACTGTTTAGCAAGATATCACCTATACTGTACCTGTACCTGTGCATTTCATTTTTGTTGCCTAAATGTAGAACCTTACTCTTTTCACTATTGAATTTCATTTTATTAGATAGTGCCCAATGTTCAAGTTTGTCAAGATCCTTCTGTATCTTTAGCCTAACTTCTGGAGTGTTGGCTATTCCTGCCAGCTTGGTGTCATCTGCAAATTTGATGAGTTCCCCATTTATTCCCTCATCCAAATCATTGATGAAGATGTTGAAGAGTATTGGGCCCAAAACAGAGCCTTAGGGTACTCCACTGCATACTTCCCTCCATGAAGATGCAGTTCCATTGAGGAATGCACATTGAGTGCAGTTACATCAGCTTATCAAATACTTAGGAGCTGAGGGCATGGAAACACTACTAGTTATCAATGCACCAATCAGCCAATAGGAAGGCACCACATAAACACGACTCACAGAACAGAACGAAGCATATAGTCCAGTAGAGACAAAACTCCCTTAAGATGGGCTCCAGCATGAGTCCAAAAGTTCGGAAGAATATACCTATGGTCCCGGTGACTGACCCAAATTCTATTTCACAAGAATCATATTACCATTCCCTACTAACAATGTCTTTAGATATTCTTTTACTTGTTGTGTTTCATTCATCATTTATTTCAGCAGGGATGGCTTTCTATCAGTAAAATAACCCCAAATACTAGATGCTAAACATATATACTCACGCATTCTTTGCTCCGTAGCTTGTATAGTCAATAGCTGCTGAAACACCGACAACAGTTGCAGGAAAGAGATAGCCAGCAACATAATAGTACTTCTTCCTGGAATATTCACTTTCAAATACTTCTACTAACATAAGATATAGTTGTACCCCTTCTAGGCACATCCAGGCAAAAGCTGCCAGGAAGAAAAAATGTAAGAGGCCTGCAAATATGGGGCAGGCAATCTGCAAAGAAACAGAAACAATCAAATGCAAACTACAACTTCTTCAACCTTTCTTGTGTAGTCTGACATTTCCAAAAATAAGAATAAGATGGTTCCAACCCAGAGCTCAGATTTTAGAAAGAGCCTACTACAATCTCAGGCTGGGAGAACCTCTCCAAAGCAGAAGTTTCTATTCGGCATGGTTAAATGTCTGTATGTTCTCAGTAGCTGTACCCTGTCCTTTGTTGCACTCTGTAAGTTAAGATGTGGAAAATGTGTGCCTGTTCACATTATTTAGTGTAATGGAATATCAAGTCTGGAAAGCAGCCTATTAATTTTGGGTACGGAAATCTTAACAGTCTGCTGCAAGGCTTATACTGCAAATGATTTGGTAGAGAAAGATAAAGAAACACTGCCGCTAAATGTATTATTTATAACTTCTGTTGAAGAAAAAAAAAAGAATATGCCACTGCAAGGAATTCCATTTCCTTTCGTATTCAATATTTCTTTTCTTTTCTACATAAGATGGAGTGCTGTATTACTAACCAGGCTAAGAACAAAATCCATAAACTTGAGGAAAGCTTATTTTAGAAAAGTTGAAATTCTGTCTCAGGTCTTTAAAATTTAGGTCTTCCATTATGAAAAGTGAAGGTAATAAAAGGTCATTCATTTGAAGGAGAAGGGCAGTTGAGAAACTTCAAAAATAACCATATAGAATAATTTTAGCATTACTGCATTATTTAGATATATAATGCATCTATATAATGCCAACTCTGTATAGATAGTCCTCGACTTACGACCAGTCATTTAGTGACTGTTCAAAATTAGGAGATCTCCCCGGGGCTACTTACAACTCGAATTCAAAGTTCTGACCGCTCTTCCCAGTCATGTGATCATTTTGGATGCTTTGCAACCGCCCCTCATTTACAGCTGCTCTACAGTCACAGGGACAGTGATTTACAATGTTTTATGATGCCATTTACGTCCAGTTTCTGGGAGGGGGGGAATATCCCAGACTATTGATTCTCTTAAAAACCACCATGTTAAATGGCTGTGGTGATTCACTTAACAACTGCGGCAAAAAATTGGGTACAGTCACATGGCAACATGCTTAATGACTTAGGGCTGAAATTGCAGGCTCAGTTATGGTTTTAAGTTGAGAACTACCACTACCACAAAATCCCTAATGGGGATTTAAGCCTTTAACAAGTACTGCTTTGGTTTTATGCCTATCAGCAGTACTGCTTCTATTTTATTCTTACAAATGTTATTTTATTCGGCTTCATTGTTAGAAGACCACGGAACTTTTACAAAGAGCTGTATGCCAGTATGAATGATTATTGCAATGCTTGCTATTTGTGCATGTAGAATCTCTGTCTCTAAAGAAATACATATGCATGACCCTAAATCAGAATAATGTGCCTGCCTAAGGCCTTTCAGTCAACAGTTTCTGTTGCAGTATTTTTTTATCTCCTATATCATGCCAGAGTGTGGTTAATTAAAATAGCCATAGTTTTAACGTGACTTAAATCTGGACAATGCTGCTTAAAAATAAATAATTCTCTTTTTTTTAAAATTAATCTTTCTGGCACAAGAACATCTAGACAACCCCTTCCTGCGCTATTGTGCCCTTTAGATGAGCTGAATACAGTTTCATGCATCCTGGAAGCCATTTGGTTACAGAACCAGATCTACAAAATAAAACTCTTGTTCTATTGCAGAATGATCGCTCCCATTCTCTCAACCTTCAGAAAATAATTTAAACCTCTGCTTCAACTTGTTTCTATGAAGTTTATAAATATTTACAAATGTATCCTAAACCCAATTAATTTCACCACAGTTTTCTTGCTGTTGACTGTGTTTTGTTTTTCTATTGTTGCTTGCTTGATCATCCAGTTTGGTGGGAAAACTGGGGTTACAAAATAAAGCCTTTTTTTATTTTAAGGAAACAAAAACCTGAGAATATATACAAGTCTGGAGGGCTTACCTTATATTCGGTTTTATCGATGCCTATTAGGAAAATAAATTCGGCAATGAGGAGGTTAATGCAAAGGTTCTTGTGAATTGTGTTCCGATCACTTTGAAGGCCACGGAAGAAACAGAAAGTAAAGATGCAAATCGCCAGGCAGACAAGGGAGATGACAATTCCTACCCAGGTGATGACAGTGAGGAGTAAGCCATGCATTCCATTTTTGTACTGGAAGTAATGAAAATGAAGGGAAATTAGTGTCATTACTGACTAATGGACAAGTAAAATATCAGGTTCACATTTAACACTGACTGATAACAAAGAGAGAGGTGAGGTGGCCCAATCTATCTGTTGGTTTGTCCATAAAATAACTTGTTCATTATGAAATAACTGGTAACAGTGATGCTAAAAGAAACTATATAAATATTAAACTGAGAAGATACATCTTGGGAAATTGTTCTGTTGAATGTATAAAGAGAACATTGTTTATAATACCAAAAGAGGTTGAAATACAATAGAATCCTTTATTAAAATGTACTATTCTTAAATAAAATAAATACATATTTTAAACATTACAGTTAAGTAAAAGATATTACTGGCCAGGTCTGCACATCATGTCACAACAAGCCATTATGGTTTATAATTGAGGTGAAGCTAGTTTTAGTGCTTGGCAAACCATAGTTCATGTCTTAAGGTTGTATAAGTATGTATTCAGTATTAGTTTAGTCAATAAACGATGGTTTCAAAATTGTTGCTTATTTATGACCGAACCTAACCAGCAATATTTTACTGTTATCTTCACAGTAGTATCTGGCAGGGGATGAAAAATCAGCCTGATGCCTCTGATATGTGGGATAATGCAAAGGTTAGTTCTCTCTCTTTTGCTCTTTAATGTTTACATAAAGGCCAATGGGTATGATATAATTACTATGTTAATGATAACAAACTTCATATTGCCACCCCAGGTTGTAAGTTGGGGTCGTGTTCTGGGACCTGCAGGTTATTATTATAACTTGGATGAAAGAGAATAGAATGAAGCTGAATTCAAGCCTGGCTGTGCCGGCAGGCCTGGGGTTGATGAGTTCCCCTCCCCTCTTGACTTGTATGGCTGTATGACTCTTGTGTATTTTAATTACGTGTATTGTGTTTGTATCCCCTTTTCCCCTTTTGAGTTGTTCACCGCCCTGAGTCCCTCCCGGAGAAGGGCGGCATACAAATAAACTAAATCTTAATCTTAATCTTAATCAAGCAAAACCGAGTTGCCATTTAATGCTCAGCACTATATTTTGATGGGCAGACACTAGCCATGAAGGAGCAGATTTGGGATCTGGAGTATTTCTGGATTCGTGGCTCATTCTGGAACAATAGGTGGAGTTTATGGAAAGGGGTCTTTGCCCAACTTCGGCTGCTGTGCCAGTTGCATTTCTAAGAGGATCTAGGTACAATCATCAAACTATCTAGGTACAATCATACAGGGTTTTACATGGGTTTGGCCTTAAAGGCAACTTGAAATACATTGGCTTGTAAGTTTACTGGTTCCTGGCACAGGAGGCAAAATCAACAATTCTGGAGGGACTACACCAGTTACAATTACAAGTTAAGGTGCTATACTTCATGGCACAAAGAGCCAGAGTATTTGCAAGAACACTAGTCTGAAGCAGAATCAGCCTGACACACTAATCAGGAATGTCAAACTCACGGCCCGCGGTCTGGATGTGTCACACGTCCCCCCCCCCTGTTTTAACGAAAGGGGGAAAAGTTACGATATGTCACAGGACAAGGTGTTATTGCGAGTTTGACACCCCTGCATTAGATCAAGCATGAGCAGGTTGTAGAAGAAAAAGGGCTGTGCTGATAAATTAAAAGTAATTTGGGGCACAAAGGAAAAGCTATTGTGCCAATTAGCTTGATTGCACAAGGCTGTTTGGCCATATCTGTTGAACACCAGCTCTAGATCTAGTAAAGAGCAACTGCTTTTAAGTCTGATAGATGATTAATGTTGTATACTAGAAGGCATTGCTTATCTGGGATGGTATTAATACTCTACAATCGCCTTCCTATGGAGATAAGATTCTCCAGCTTTCTGCTGGCTTTTAGGAAATTACTGAAAATATAATTATTCAGGAAGGCATATTTTATGTTCTTGCTTGTTATTTTTCTGTCTTCATTGGGGTTAAATGTTAAAGGTTTCTGTATGGGCAGAAACTGCTCATCAACTAAAATAAATTATTTATGGAATAGAATACTTTATTGGTATTGGTATGCCATTTGTTGACAAATTATGTAGATTATTGTACATGTATTTAAATTATACTCTGTTTCCTCGAAAATAAGACCTCCCCAGATAATAAGCCCAATTGGGCTTTTGAGTGAATGGGCTAAAATAAGCCCTCCCCTGAAAATAAGCCTTTCCTGAAAATATTGCAACACAGCAGCAGCCATGAGGTGACCACGCTTGCTGCCTCTTGCACCTCAAAAATAATAAGACCTCCCCGAAAATAAAGCTTATTAAAATAAAATAAAGTGCTTATTTCAGAAGTCAAAAGACTTATTTTGGGGAAAACATGTAACAGATTCATTCCTTGTGGCCACAATCAACTGTCTTTTTCTACTACTTCCCCCCCCATGTGTATGTGGGATACCTGAACTTTGAAATACAAAGGCCACAGAGTACTGTAAAGTAAAATAATGAGTTATCTCTGGGTAGGAGCAGGAGTTTTACTGGGTCTTCAAATTGCTGTACATTATTTGTCAGGATTACTTACCACAATTCCCCTATGTGCCATGAGAATTGCAAAATTAGTTAGGTGGCTACATGCACACGTGGTATGTGTTTTATTTGTGTCAATCAGCTTGCAGCCTTGAGTTGACCAATATCCCATCATAGTCCGCTCTGAATAGTTCCAGAAGGAGCAATTAGCATTGAAATAATTGTTGGGCTGTGAGACATCAGGATGGGAAAAAAAATACAATTATATGCATATGAATGCTTCCTAAAGATAGTTTATTTAAATCTAATACAACCCTTTGTACCGTAGCAAATTAAGCTGACACAGAAGAAAAGGTATGTAGTTTGTGCCAAAAAATAAAATAAAATAAAATAACTAACAGATTGTGCAGAACAAACTAGCAATTTAGTTATAAGCGTGCCGTACCACGGGCATTACTGAGAATTTAATTTCCTGCAACTAGAATTCTCTACTTAAGTTTGGTGCTCATATTGATGACTTGTGGCTATTTGATTTCCAACTTTTAGCAGTAGAAACAGGTATAGTTATTTAACACAGACTTCTTGGATAATTTAAAATTTAGGAATGCAGCCTCAATTTTAATCAGTTGTAAAAGAACTGAAGAGACATGTCAGCCCAGATTAAATTGCACTGAAAACAACTCAGAAAAATGAAAGGGGATTATTGGCTATTACTTTAGCTAAATGGAAAATCCAAACCTGGACAATCAACAGCATTTTGACATGACCAGCAGAGTCTTTTAAGCGTCAGCTGAGACAGTGTCAATCTGATTCCAAGAAAAGAAGTTTGCCCTATTGAAGAAAACCTACTTGAACGATTGGTAAATGGGCTCCCGAAGATAGTACAGAATTAGAGCAAAATGCTCTGAGTGCTATTTAAATTTTGCTACATTAAGCAAGCAAAATTGTAAAAGCCCGTGTTTTCTGCCCTGCTGCTAAGGTAAGAGTTAATTTTCACTTAGGAACAAATTGCAGGCATTTACATTTTCATGTTGATTACTGAATTAGCTTTCATTAAGAATACACTTAAGTTCTAATAATCACTGAACCAGGCTCATTTAATTTTATTTTCGCAGACTTAAATAAACCTATGCCTCTGACCTTCCAATATTTAAAATTCAAATGGAAAGATCGCCCCCCCCCTCACACACACACTTTGCTCTTGCTGATTTTATGACCTTCCCATTAATTCATTTCCATAACTTACATCGATGTGTGCCAGAGTGAAAAGAACGGGATCGGTCAAATAGACACGACTGGACTCCTTGTTGATGGAGGCGGCAATGACATCAGAGTTCACAGCGATGGTTCTGTTCCTGCCAGCAAACTCAGTTCCTAACTTGATGGTTGCATTTTCAGTACTAAGAAACCGGCCCAAGCTTTTGTAAATGATGAACACCAGCTTTGCTAACCCTGGAAACAGAAACCTTCCATTATATTGACTTGAAACTGCACCCAGTTCCACTTTTCCACTTTAGCTTCCTAACTACAATATCTGTACTGAGGAATCATGGATTCCAAGGAAAAATGGCAACCAAAGGGTACAAAGGACGATGCATTTTTAATTCTGTCAAGGGAGCTTTAATCCAAGAAGTGGTAAAGTCTCCTTATAAGGTTGAAAATAACTCATTTGATCAAGACATACCATTTCTGCTGTTCTGCTTCACGGTATTTGAAGACAGCTGGATGGAGTTGCCGCCGGCATTGCCCTGAGGAAATTTTAAGTCCTGCACTTGCCCTTCTGTGCTGAGTACTGCAACTTCCAGGACTGGGTAGAACACAATAAAAAGTATATTATTATTATTATTATTATTATTATTATTATTATTATTATTATTATTATTATTATTAT